TGACGTCATGTAGCACAAAATTTGATATATGTGGATCTAGCAAAACGGCCGCGAGCGTATCATGAAAAGCCCAATATAGGCACCGTGCAGTCGAGTTTTCCCGTGTGACTGCAGCGCCAGAACACAGTGCCTAGCGGAGAAAAAGCGCAATAATAGGTTGGATCAGTCAAAATGAACCGCGATGCCCGCGTGAGGGAGCGGATTGCAGCAGGTATACACAGGGACGCGTGCACGCGTCCGTTTTCTGCGTGCCCCTGACGTCCAACTTCAGCAGACTTAGGATGGGCTAGTGCCAGCAATGCAACTCTCTCTGATCAGCGCACGGTGCAGATACTTCAATGTAGCGTTGACGCGCACGCACGCTGGGCACAGCGACGCTAGTTAGCAAAACGCGAGCACTATACACTCTTACGCCAAAGCGACGGGCGTCCGTCGGCGCGGCCCGACGGCAACCAGCGCTAAATGCAACATGCTGCATTTTGCGCCGACGCTTTACCCACACAACACTGCCGTATCCTTCTTTCTTGACGGAGGGGCGCCGGAGGTGCTGAAACGCACATGCGTCAAAACAACGCACCGCGACGTGCGCCTGCGAGTCTATGGCAGGACCGGCGCCTGGCGTGGCAACGATGGCGTGACGCGACGAAATGAAAGCCGGTGAGCACGCGCACTGTGTCACGTCGAAATGTATTGGCGCCTTGAATGTGGCATGTAGTCATGTTCCCACATGACACGCATCTCATGATTATCATGTTTGCACCAGTCACATACCTTCGCCAGTGATTGGCGTTAAATAATACCAAATTTGACATGCATATGTGAAGCCAGCAAAACGGCCGCGAGCGCATCATCAAGTGGCATGTATGCATGTTATTACATGACACGCATATCGTGATTATCATGTTTGGATGTGTCATTCACCTATGTCGACCGTTAGCGTCACGTAATACCGAGTTTGGTACATTAGAAACTAGTGAAACAGCCGTGAGCACATGATGAGCGTAGCATGTAGCTATGCTTTTGCATGACACACATTCCTTGTTAATCATTTCTGCACCAGTATCATACCTTCGTCATTCATTGAAGTACTGTAATCTCAAATTTGGTAATTGTTATGCTAGCGAAATGGCCGCGAGTGTATCATGAGCGTGGCATGCAGTCATGTTGTTTAATGACACGCATGTCATCATTTTGACGTTAGGGTCTGTCGCTTGTGTTCGCCATGCATTCTTGCCATACCATACTACTTTTGCAACATGCCATGTGAACGAAACCACCACAAGAGCTCCAGGACTATGAAATGTGAATCATGACAATAATTGAATACATGTCATGATTTTCGTGTTAAGACTAGTCAAATATATTACTCATGCAGTCATGTTACGCCATACCCAGTTTGGTATTTATAAATGTTGAAATGGCTAGGAGAGCTGAAAGTTATAGGCGGCTAGATAGATAGATAGATAGATAGATAGATAGATAGATAGATAGATAGATAGATAGATAGATAGATAGATAGATAGATAGATAGATAGATAGATAGATAGATAGATAGATACGTTCAAAGTAGCCGAAGTTCGCTAAGAAACTCTTCGCATTTGAAAAGTGGCCCCGTATCTGCACGTAATCTGCAAATGTTGTCGAAAGACGACAGTATTTCGTGTGGAGAGAGTGAACAAAACATTTATTTGATGTTCTGCGCAAGAAAATCGGTGAATGGTATTCCGGAGGCGCTGCGTTAGAGTGCCTCGAGCGTGCAGCGGAGGCGAACGAGCGCATCAAGTCACCTCACACGTGAGACTTGAGCGCCATCTGGCAGTTGTTTTTGGAAAACAAAGCACGTGGCCCTGAGACGGGCGTGCGCGCCCGTCTCAGATGTGATAAGGTATCGAACGCAAGGCGACGGGCAGGGGACGCCACCGTGTTGTCTTAGCAAAGCGTTCGAAACACTTGCCTTTCCGTGCAAGCGTTGCATGGTCTGCGCAGCTTGATAAGTGCTACGGTCCTTAGAATTACTTGTGTATGCCTTTCTAGTAAAGGATGAACATGCAGAATATATACGTGTTGGTATGGTGCCTCAGATATGCGCAATAATTGCTTTTTAATTGACAATCGCACATGTATGAACGCTGATCTTTGAGCAACATTGGTGGGCGCTGCGGATGGTGTAGGCCATTCGAAGTATTGGCTGGTGCTGTTTAGAGTACCCGGTTCGTGGTAACGGTGGACGAACAGACAATTGTACAGACAGACAGACAGACAGACAGACAGACAGACAGACAGACAGACGGACAGACAGACAGACAGACAGACAGACAGACAGACAGACAGACAGACGGACAGACAGGCCAAAGTTTTTGCGTCGAAGGTCCCAAGAAAGACTATCGCCTTTAATAGGGCCTAGCACTTTGTAGTGGGCATTGGTTTACTGCACTTTGGTCCTTATGCACAATTTTTTATATATAGTCAAAGTATGATCTCATATTGTTACTAAAAAAGGTATAAATTCGCGCAAAATTTATCGTAAACGTTACAACGATAGTAAATAAATCTAATAGTATGAGTGTTACTTGCCCTTTGGCCGCTATACAGATTCCCGGCCATCACTGAAATCGGTGGCGCCCAGCCAATGTCTCACCAAACACGTAGAAGGTACGACCTAATGTATTTTTGTTGACCGCAACACATATTAGACTGTCCATGAAACGCTGTCAAACAAGAGCTCTTCACTTTCAGTAGCAATAATCAAGCATTCACCCAATGAAGAGGTTCTGTTTTCCTTCTTTTGCCCCGCAAATCACATATGGCACACTGTTGCCAACCGTAAGGATATTATCCTACCTGTCAGGTATTTCCCGAACTTTTTAGGTAGCGTGGGCTTGCAGCGTGTTAATGTGACTGTCTTATCAGGCTTTGGGTAGTTTTTACTTTTCCCTTGTTAATGATCCGCGAAAGATGTGGACTATTGACGTGACATTCCCGAGGGTGACGTACCTAAATGCATCCGAAAGCCGAATGTTTTCTTTGATCAGACTAGAGCTCTATTGTTATATAAGTCACCACCACAGGGCACACGTGGGAGATTTACGTCAGTTTTGTGAGGGCGGGGCGATGAATACAAATCATCGAGAAGATGACAATAAATTAAAAATGGCCCTAATCTACATGTTACATTGGAAATGTCGTCGAAAGATGATAGTCTTGCGTCTGGAGAGAGTCAACAAAACGTTTATTTGATGTTCTGCGCAAGAATATCGGTGAATGGTATTCTGAAGGCGCTGCGTTAGAGTGCCTCGAGCCTGTTACGAAGATGAACAAGCGCATCTTAGACACGTTAGACACGAGCGCCATCTGGCAGTTATTTTTGAAAACGAAGTCATGTGCCACCGTGGAGGAAGATGCGCGCCAGTCTCGGAGGTGATAAGGTGTAGAATGCAAAGTGACGGGCAGGTGCCATCACCGTGCCGTGGTAAAAAAGTGTTGGAAATACCTTCTTGAGCATCGTGTTGCACTGGCAGCGCAGCGCGTTAAACTCTACAGTCCTTAGAGCGTTGTGTGTGTGCCTCTTCTAGTATAACGGTAGGCATACAATAGAAAAACATGTTGTTATGGCGCCTAAGGTATGCACAATATTTGATTTTTTTAGTGACAATCGCACAACTATGAACGCTAAACCTTGAGCATTATTGCGTGGCGCTGCGGATGGGGTTGGCCGTTTGGTGCCGTTCGAGGTATTGTTAGGGCAGACAAACAGCAAATGTTCAGACAGACAGACCAAAATTTTTTCGTCAAAGGTCCCCAAGAAAGACTGTCGTCTTTAAAAGTGGTTTTCACGTTCGAGTGCTTTAAGGGGAGTGCAGCAGAGACTATGAGCATTTTTTCTGGTCCACTGGATGGGTGGATAAAATAGGATTCTCCTTGCGACAAGGTTATGACCTTCGCTTCACTAAGCTCAGTTTACGTTATTATTATTATTATTATTATTATTATTATTATTATTATTATTATTATTATTATTATTATTATTATTATTATTATTATTATTATTATTATTATTATTATTATTATTGTTGTTATATTATTGTTATTATTATTATTCAGAACACTGAGGACGCGCAGCAAGTGCCCTCCGTGATTTTTAAATGAACCCAAATTTAGTTACCTTTCTTTAGTTCATATTATACCTTGCACCAATTTGTACGGACTCTATCCGCAATGTGATCTTCATATATGAACTGGAGCATGCCCATATATACTGTGCTCATTCATGCGTTATACTCTGTAGTGTATAGAGGTAAACAGTGCCTCTGAATATTGTTTCTTTTTTGATTCTTAATGTTTCGTATTTTTGTTTATCTTGTAAAATACTGTTATGATGTTGGGAAAGCCGGCTCTAACGTAGCCTACCTTCCCTTATTTTTCCAAATATGAATAAAAAGCTCTTTCTAAACACCTATATAAACCGGACCAGAGTTCATATATTCATTGATAGAAAAAGTTTTCTTGCAGCCGAGCTACGTTGTTGAAGTATGTGCGCAAGCGATCTAGCATATGTGAGCAGTGCTTCAGGCTGCTGAACTCGGATGGTGTCGAAGTGTATGACGTTGCTGACTGTTTTGCCACAGACTTTTATTCCATGTATAAGACCTTCTACTCTATGACTCAGATAGCATAACATTACAAGGTCATTACCAAATCTAGTCGTATGCAATCCTCACCAGCTCATGCATTAGGCGCTCAAAAACATCCCAGTCACGTGGCCCATATGGCGTTTCTTCCACCATACCAAAAGATTATGGTAGTATACATTAGAAGATCGCACACGGAAATACAAAGACTCAGTTCTCACGCAGTATATCCTTCAAATATGTTTTCCACCCCCACCACCCTCCAGTGAACATTTGGCTTTCTAGACCTCTTTCATAAGATTTCTATCCAATTACCAAAATTTTCTTCATCATCTTGTAATAGCTTCAAATCTTGCATCAACCCTTTCGCAGGAGGCCTCTTCGACACGGCGCCATCAGAGGACGACGAGCGGGCTTTCACGTACGCTGTGGAACGTGTCAACCTCAACAACGACGTGCTGCCCCGAACTACGCTGCTTCCCCTACTCGAAACACTCAAGCCAAGAGACAGTTTCCATGCATCGAAAGCCGGTGAGCAGCCACACTCCGCACCCAAATAGCTCTACGCAGAAAAAGAATGAGCTGCTGTTCATTGAGGAATTATTAACGCCATAAAAAAAGAACTACCAGTTATAGTTTATTGCGGATTGCAGTGCAGCTTACTTTTCTTGACATCGAAGCCAGTTGCTCATTTGGCACAGTCTAAAATTCTCGTCTGTTACGTTGGCGTATAGAGTTTCTCAAAATGTTGCCTAGAGGAAAAGCTGGCGCCAGCTAGTAAGTCATTCATAAGGGACGCTGTTGCTGCGATGGCAATGACAGCACATGTGCCTGCGATGCTTGAGTTGTCTGGCTTTGAGCGAGGCAGCGGTTAGCCAACGGGTAAAACTACGCAAATCAAGCTTCTCTAAGCTTTTCTACGTACGGGTTCAGTTCACGCATATTATATTATAATATTAGGGTCCATTCACATGTGAGGCAAAAAAAACGCAAAAATAGAAAGCAGCAGCGGCAGCCATATCGTTTGCCTTCCAAGTTTAGCGACCATTCATTTCTTTTTACGCTATGTAAAATTTTACATCGATACAGAAAATTCCTGTCTTAAATACAAATTCTGTCAGTGCAATGATAAAAAGAAATTGCTTACTACTTGCTCCTTTAGCTCTGAATTGACTTATTTGACGCAAGAAATGCGTTGAAGACAGACAAGTCATCGCGGTGTCCGGGTTTTTCATGTACGATGCAAACAGGCATGAAGTCCGAACCTAACTTAACCCACTATTTTCATGCGTACAACAAATCGTACTTCTATAGAGTGTCGCGCCGCGGTGGTCTAGTGGCTAAGGTACTCGGCTGCTAACCCACAGGTCACGGGATCAAATCCCGGCTTTGGAGGCTGCATTTTCTATGGAGGCGGAAATGTTGTACGCCCGTGTGCTCAGATTTGAGTGCACGTTAAAGAACCCCAGGTGGTCGAAATTTCCGGAGCTCTCCACTACGGCGTTTGTCATAATCATATGGTGGTTTTGGGACGTTAAACCCAACATATCAATGAAAAAAAACTGTACGATTGGCGCACCCTGAACGATCACATGTGACCACTCCGGGCATGCCTTTTACTGTCAAATTTGTCCGCTTTGTACAGAAAGGGATGATTCGAATGACAGCAGAAAAGCAGTGGCTACACGCAGCAATAAATCTAGCCATGTGATTTGTGTAGATGAAGGAATGAAGGAAGAGTAGATGTATAGATGAGAGGCTACAAAGAGATTTGTGATGATCAATTTTAACCTAAAATATTCTGATCGAAGACTATCATTAGAAACTGATTACGCTGGGTAATGCAATTCTATACTTGAACTTCATGTGCGTTTGGTACGAGTGAAGCATTTGAAACTTCACTTCCAGGTAAGTATATAGCTTTTTCCAAGCGAAGTCATCTACGATAAAGCGAAACCGAAATAAGCCCGTGGCATGTGCACAAAAGCTCCTAGTATCTAAGAGCCACGGATTTGAAAAAAAAAATTCCGCTGCTTACTGCCAGTCAACTAAAAAAGTAAGAAGAGATCACACGTGTTTCCAACACTAATTGAACTTTTAGGACAGCCGTAGTAGATAATTTAGAAAGACTAAAGAAGTGACGAGATTGAGCTAGTGACAAACTCTGATTGTGCACGTTTCAGATTCGCTTATTAAGCTCCTGCATGGAGTGCTTGGGCAGTGATTTTAACGCGATAGCGGTAAAGAGCTCGTGTCGCAGAAAACCCGCCACCGGCGTCGGCCCCGTTGGTTGTGAGAGAAAAATCGTCGGTGAGTCTGTGACCGAAAAATAAAGTTGCAAGATAGCCGCGGGCGGCCGCTACTTGTCCATACGTGCTCGCGCAATCACACTGAAAAAGCCGTGCATTAGAAGAAAAAAAAAGTGCTCAAGGTCCCGAGGTGCGGTAGCTTCTTTGTCCTGCCACACCTCTCTGCTTAGCTTCCAGCGCATTCGTTGGGAGGAGAGAAAAGATATTGCAATTGCAGCATGTGACAAACCTTTGCCACTCCACTTGCACTAGACGGATTCTTAACATATTTGCTGCGTTGAATTTGTGAGGCAATAAGCTCTTCTAGAGAATTCATTCCATGGTTGCTTGGAAGAGTGTTTCAGGGCTCCTTTAACGCATTTTGTTCGACAGGTGTCACGACGAAAACGAGCCCATTCGGCGATAATAGCGCGCGCTGGTCCAATCTACAGTGCACGTGTTTGTGTGCGTGTGTGTGTATGTAACAAAACATATTAATAAGTATGCACTTAGTGGTCTAAGGGCGCACTAGGGGCCGGATTTCGCTGTCGCGTTCATCTCTTAAAGGCGAAGCTTAAGGGCCCCCAATTTTTTCACTCCTTCTAAAAGATTCGATCTTGCGAATGTTAATTTCCTGATGTTAGCGGACAGCCTAATTAACGCCCTCCTATAGTAGAGTACTTCATACTCTAAAGCATTGAACATTTTTTTCCAGTCATCGTAGTTCAAGCAAAATTAATTAACACTTCAGCATGACGTTGATCGAATCCTACGCATTGTCTCTGTGTCTTCCTGACCTCCCAACCTCCGCAGCTTTTCGCAAACGTTATTTCGGTTGAGTTCGCATTTTTTCCAGAGGCCAGTGGTGTAGATTTTACGTTGTTCGTAAAACACGCTCTTCACTCTCATTCGTACCTAAGTTCGTTTCGAGCTTGTAATTAGTTCGAATGCTTCGAAGTATAATTGAATATTAGGTATTTCTTATTTTAATACAAGAGTAACGTAGAAAGGTATTTAGACAACATCATTGATTATGGAATAATGATTTGAGGGGATGTGAGGGGAAGTGGCTAATTATACCAGTGATAACAGCGCAAGAAGGAACAAGGAATAGAAAGAAACACAGACCCATGGTCTGATAGTTTCCCCTGTACTTTTCTTTGCAGTATTGTCTGTGCGTTCTCATTAATATTGTGTCAAAACACGGAAAAACAAACCCTTAAATATACACTCCTAAAAGTAAAGGTTGTCATATTCTCTAGCTATATACTAACCATTCACTTGTCACATAAAGCACAAGCCTCTCAGTATGGGAAGGTTGTATAATGCAGTTTAGTGAAATTTACTACCTAGTTAGTAAGTGAGCAGTTCTTACTCGTGCGGTTAGTCCACCCCCGCAAATAGAAGCTTACGCCTATTTTGTAACATGTTCGCGTGCGTTGCCATATCAGAATATATTACAAAAGTATAGGATAAAAAAAAAACTAATTGACATCCCTATCGAAAAAAACAGCGTTTGAAGTATCCGTCAGTGCTTTTCAGCGCACTGGGCGACACTGGAAACGCTCTACAGTTTGTCCCAGTGTACTACAGCACGCTGTGGGGCACTGGGACACAGTGTACAGCGCGGCCAGCGTCGCCCAGTGCACTGAAACCCACTGGGCCACGCTGTACAGCCTAGCCCAGTGTCCTAGTGCGGTGGGAGACACTGGTCACGCTGCACAGTCTCTACCACACACTGATAACGTTAGCGGCACTTTGGAAGAAACTTGGCGCGATCAGCGCACTTTCTGTAAGACTTCATATTAAATCGCGAGATGTCGAGCGTTAGATTTACCGAATATGATGGTTATCTTATCTATGCGCTACATATATATAGCTTTGTTTTAGTAAGGAAATGGATGCGAGTACGCTGAAGCATTCATATGTCGAGCGCGCAGGTCAGGGACGCCGCCAGGATTTTTCTGGGGGGGGGGGGGGGACCAACGACGATTGTGTTCCTGCAAGGATGACAGGGAGGCACAGAACTGATGCGTCGTGTTTTAACTAAGCTTGCTCTTGGGAGGGGGCAAAGGGGGGAGGGCGTGCGAGAATATCGTGAAAAAGGCTCCAGCCCACCCATGAATGCCCCTTCTGGCGCGGGTGCGCTTTCTTGAAGTTCGATTAAATTTCGTCAATGTATTTCATAAACGGCATCGATAGATCTGATGATTGGAAACACAGTATGACTGTAGTATCAGCCTGATAATGAAGGCCAACCTACTCTAGCAGGGAGCCGTTGCGGCTTGCACCGTAGGAAGCCGCACGTCCCTGGTAGCAGTTATCCGCTGCAATGCCCAATCTAGGTGTTTTCAGCTTTTCATTTGTGTAGTCGAAGGGGAAAATATGACCAATCATGGGTCACTTTTGATCTAAACTACACTTTAACGATTATTAGACTCTTTCTAACTGATTATCTACGATATTCACAGCAACCGTGGCACAAGAAGTGCGGCCCTAAGCCTAATGGTTGTTTCGGTTAGAGTGAAGTGCTGCGGCTGTCGTATTCGTAACGTAAATGAGGAGGGCAGAAAATACTTCTAAACTATCCAGGGACAAAATTTACAGTGTTCCCCGCAAAAGCTAAGCTAACAATCTCTTCTTTAGCGATATGTATATATATATATATATATATATATATATATATATATATATATATATATATATATATATATATATATATATATATATATATATATATATATTGTAATAAGTGAGACAGACACAACACCCGTTCGTCGGGCAAGCTGTTTTATTCTGCCTCTTATTCCTCGCTTTTCAGCCCATGGCCCACAGCTGCAGTGCCGCTCTTCATTACATTCGGCCACACTGCGGACCTGACAAAGAAAAAAAAAGAAATTACAGTTCATTGCACCTGCAGCGGTCCGACTGCTTTTTTCAAGCCTGACACATGCGCGGCAAAGTTGTTTCTTTTGCGTTTATCGAGAGTGAAAATCGCATCTGAGGTGTTCACATGGCAGGTATTTTCTCCTACACGCTGAGTAATTATGAACGGCCCATCGAACTTAGGGAGTAGCTTCTTGCCAGGCCCGCTGGTGCCCCTTTGCACCCAGACCTCGTCACCGATGTTGTAAGCAGGAGCGGGTCTACGGCGTCTGTCATAGTGGCGCTTTTGATTTTCTTGTGCATGGGTGGTTTTCTTGATCGCCTCAGTTCGGATCTTCTGACAGGCCGCTTTGTGAT